AAAAACGCCTCGGCACCTTCGATGCGGGCGGATTTCTCACTGCAGCTGCAGCTGGTGCAGGCTCAGCCGGCCTCTTTGATCAAGATTTGTACGCCAGCATCACCTTGAACTCCATCGTTGGGAGCCCTGACCGATCCATCGGATCTCGATCTGCCCAAGAGGATTGCTGCGATCAGTCGGATGATCACTCCGAGTTGCTACAAGGGCCTTTTTCGTTTTGTTGGAACCAGTTTTTTGTTCTTTGGAACCTGAAACGACACGCTCAGATTGCCACCGCAACGGTGGTGTTCCAGGTGACAGAGCTTAACCCATCGACCGACGCCGAAGGAATAACGTGACACAGACAGGATGTCCAGCTAAGAGAGTTCGCCACATGCTGAGGTATCAAACTGTATTATGCTATGTGTGGATGCGGCTGAACAAATCAGATCCAGAAGCCACAGATTTGTTTTGGTGCATCTTCATCATGTTCCCTTCAGCGGGACGTTTCAGGATAGCACGCGATTCGTGAGTCACAGCCATGACGGGGCGACCACCCCACTGCTGCTCGTCGCTTCGCTGCTCGTCGCTAGGCTGCTCGCTCCAGGCGCCCGTTTGCGCCGTTGAACTGGCTGAGATTTGTGCAGGCGAAGTGACAGCCAGAAAAACATAATCGGGATCCTTTTTCGTCTTTTTTTTGTCAGGGAAAAGGGCACATTAGGTGTGGGCGACTTCTTTAGGAAGCTTCCGATGGCATCTAGGTGAAGGATCCGAATTCTTTTGTAGAATACACCCAAGAATGGTTTCTATAGATTCTAAATGTTTCCAATTGATGCTGTTGCGCGAGGCTCTGAAATTCGATTGATGCGACCGTTTGTTCGGTTCGCTGCGACAGGTGTTGCTTTTGTCGGGAGAGCTCAGCGATGCTCAGCGGAAACAGGTGGGGCCATGACTTGGAGGAACCGGTTCCCTGTGGAAAGTAATGTAGACTCTTGATTAATGCACCGTCCCGTTTGAATTGAACATCCTCTTCAAAGGGGGGGTTTATGTTTATTGATGTTTATTGATCAAGAGTCTACATTAGGTCATAGGAACTCCTTGCAACCAGTTTTTCATCTACTCAACCTACCTTTCCTCTTGCCAGGGTTGCCGCCTTGACACCGGTTTCGGAGTAGTCGAGCTCTCCTCTCTACATGCCACTGCTTGTTGACCAGCAACGTTCCCTATGCTCAATATGCTCTTGTTCTGCGGTACCTGTTTCGTTGACCAGCTCATTGGAACATGACCTAGGAGACGTGAGGTCACAGGCTCGACATTTGGAAACAGTTTAATTTGGCATTTGGCATTGAAAAGGATGTGATTGATGATAGACTGTTTAAGTGAGTATATACCAATTAGCTTCAACTGTTCATCTCTAGGTGCCAGTTCTGTTTTATTTTTTGAAGTACATCACACATAGTTACGCAGGTTTGCATGCCGAACTATGGTGAGTGTTACATAACTCAGTGCAGACGCCAGGAGCCTGGCTCGACCCTTTCAGCATCTTCCGTGACCAAGGTGCCAATTGCAGGAGAAAGCTTCAAGAATCGGACATGTTTCAGGCTCCGGGTCCACGGGTTTTCCCGTGTGTCCGAGGTCACAGGTGTGACCCGGGTGAAGGTCACTGGCGCGCTGCCCGGGAGACATGGGAGACATGGTCATGTAATGTATCACATCACGGATGGTCACCGCTCACTTCAGCGGTTTCGTGGTGAAGGCAGCGGCTCAAAGGAGATGATGCAAGTGCAGACACAAAGCATGGTAGAGAAGGAACCACATTCATATGGACATATTATATATATATATATATATATTATGAATTACTGCAAACCATCATAGTCAAACCGAAAGGACCAGATCATCCTAATTACTTGGTTCGAAAGCTCTGAACATCTCTTCAGAGCCCGCCGTGATGCCACAGAAGCGCCAGCTGATCCGTGCGACGCCAATGACTTATACGACCAATTGCAAATCCCTCGGAACGCAACGCACCGGGAGATCGTGCAGGCATATCATCGGCAAGCCTTGCACTGCCACCCGGACAAAGGTGGTGACACAATGAAGTTCCAGAAACTTGCACAGGCCTATGAAATTCTTTCAGACTCTTCTTCTCGAGATGCTTACCGCTCGTTTTTGCTGGAGCAAGGATGCAATGATGGCCTGATGCCCTGTGCTATTGCAGATGCTGGCTCCGATCCCATCCACGTGCTGGCAGAGCATCCCGATGACATGATTCAGGTGCTGCTTGCTTCTCCGTCAGAAGGATGGCAAAAGCTTCTGAAAGGGTTTCGAAGCCAGCAGCTTGGGCAATTGCTGGAATCTTTGCACGCCCTGCCCAAAGATGGCAAGAAGCGGCGCGGCACCAAGATCAAGCCACATAGAGGGCACAAGGAGCACTGCAGGGACCACAACCATCCAAGACTAAGAATGAAAAATCTCCATAGCATGGAGCGGAGCGGGGTCTATATATACCGTTCCGAGATGGACATGAGGGGCTTGTGCATCTCCACACCACATTCGAGCAATCCACCAGTCGTGGCATTTTATCATTCGGTGATAGTGGAGCTGCGCTCTTGCATTTTGCAATGCTTGGACACCAAGCCAACATCGTTTGAAACGGCAGTCTTGGATGCCATCGACAAGCTTGGTGTCAATGGATTTGCTTGCCCTTTCTATTTCATTTCCAGACGGTTGGTTGGCTCCAAAGTTTATCTCACTCCAACCGTTAGTGAGTTGGCAATGGCGCTTGAGATGCGCCGAGACTTGCAGCAATTGTCGACGGCTGCCCAAATCAAGCAAGCAAAGAAGAAATGGGAGAAGGTGCTGCAAGGGTCCTTGGCAGAAGGATTGGTAGGCCTGCAGGAGAAGGCCAAAGAACTGAAAGGCTACATCTTCGCCCTGCAGGAAGTTTGCAGCGGCGAATCTGTACTTCGCCTGCGCAGGTGCAGCAAGCAGCCAGCTGATGTGGTTCTAAAGGTTCCATTCCTTGGCAGGCTGGCTGCAAGCCTGGGGCAGACGTTCACCGACCTGGAGAAGCAGCTGGCTTGTCCCGAGGGACAGAATGCCTTGATGGATTTCTTTTGCAAAGGATCTGGGCCGAGGTTGGCACTCCTCCACACTCCGGTGGACCTGTTGGGGCAAATTCCTGAAGGTGAAAGAGCAACAATCTTTGGCTTCGCGGGCATCGCACAGCTCGTGTTGCTTGGCGCGGCGTGCAAGAGAATCCACACCAAGGTCCAGGACCACCTGAGTGATCGTTGCCACAAAGATTTGATCCTGACTCCAAGGGACTTTACGACAGATGACATTTGGCAACTACCTCAGATCTTGTCGTTCTTGCATGAGAAGTTTGCAAAGCATGCGCAGAAGATTGACTTCACCGAGATGCCGCTCTCGGTCATGTCAAGCAGTCTCTTATGGGCAACGCTGTGCACGCTCGAGTGCTTGACGTTGGTGGTGATTCACCACTCCCATGCGTTGTGCCCACCCCCCAGGCACCCAAGGCGGTTTTCCGTTCAAGTGGGATGCTTGACAGAGTGAAAGATGTCAAAGGCAGCGAAGCTTAGCGCGATGCCAATGAACCCGACAAAGGTCCCGTGCTTGAGAAAATGGGGGTGCCTTTTGATGCAAAGGCAAACATCAAGTATTAAGATGCACCAAGATTGCCCATCTTCATGTTTGCACATGTTTCCACGAGATTGCTACAATCCAGCGTTGCTAGGGTGGACTGCACACTTGGCATTTGCCTGACAGGATTCGGACATAGTGGTTTGGATTGACCAGATTGCTTGAAGCTCAGGACAGCGTGCAGAGGTTGATTGGGGCCAGGATTTTCCAGGATTGACCATTTGTTCAGCATCGCCCTCATTGTTTGCCTCTTTCTTTGCATTGCCTGTGTGTCTTTGTTTTTACGCTTGATGTGAGAGGTGTTTCCTGAAAGACTTCTGGAACGGTTGTGGAGAGTTTGTCTTGGCGGTGGTGCTGCATCCCTGCCAGCCGTGGCACATTCCGGAGGCGCGACGATGAATGGCAGCGAGGAACGGGCAGCAAAGGGGCTTGAAACAACACGTCCAATGGCATTGCAAGGTCGTGAAATTCTCATAATTACATACTCCGAGATGGGTTCCAGATCATGGGATGAACATGGAAGAAGACATGGGTGGAAACTGATCACAAACTTTGGCAGCCATTTTCATAGATCTTTTCATGTCTAAACAAACTGTGCCCCTTGTTCTCTTCTCCGCGTGCTTGTTCCGTGGCCAGTGACTGGGTGACTGCTCGACACACTTACAGGTGGAGCTCCTTGAAGGTGTGAATCAGAGGTGATCTTTGTGAAAGGCTGAATCACAAGCAGCGGTCACGCACTTTGGATGTGGTGAATCCTTCGGCTGGCGCGAGTCTCAGTGTACTTCGCTGCACTGTCTCCGTTGGAGACAGGGAGGTGAGTGGGACGGAGCGTAAGAATGCATCGCGTTTGCAAGATTCCAAGAGATTTGGGGTTTTGTCCCTTTAAGATGCAGTTATGCTGAGTTATGCTGTACTCAGCCTATAGATTCCCAAACATGACAAGATTCTTACCACGGGTGATGTAGTTGTTAAGACTCACCTCACATCTTCCATAGTGATCCTCGTGAAGAGTAGCATCACCTTTTTTTTTCTGCACCTCAAACAACCTGGTTCCAATGATGAAAGGGTTTGCACTGGATAGTGTATCCAATGCTATCAAGCAAGAAATACATATGAGACAGGCTTGGTTTCCTGCCCTGGTTCACTTGCATCCATGGACAGGCACTCAGCTTCCTTTGTGCTGAGTTGGTCGTAGAGGTTATTGAGATTGGAAAACAACTTTCCAATCTCATCAGCCTGCCTCGATGCTAGTTATATTCAAATTCTGCCAACCGACTGGTATATATAAATATATATATATACAGTTACATATAAATATATATATATATATATTTGTGATTTGCAAGAACCATATGCAAACCAGAGGCTGCGTAGCACATGGAGTCTTCATATTTGTCAGGCGTTCCTGGATTCCTCAACAGACCTCCCCAAACAAAGAGTTGGAGGTCCAAAAGCAGCAGCTTTAAAAGAATCTTTGTCCTGCTGGTCTGTGCCAGCATCAATTTTCTTCCCAGGAACACCCAAGAACGTTGGCACCAAAGATAAAAGAGAATCATTTGGATAGTTGGGAATACAACTGTCCTTGGAGCAGCTGCCCCCTAAATTGCACAGTACAGCCAGTACAGCAAACTTAAACTGACACAACCTGACATCATTTGGTCTCTAGGTCAAGCACTTGGACTTAGAGCCCGCATTTGCCGCAGCAGCTGCGGCAGCTGCTTGCTCGCATTGTCCTGTCGAAGGTTCGGGTTCATCCTGACCAGGGTGTACAAGATCCTCGGTGTCCATCAAAGCACCATCCTGGTCCTGCACATATGCGGAAAACATGTTATGGATAGATGGGACACACCGTTCAGGATTCATGTGGTCCTCAACTGCACCCCTCACCCTGTAGGCCCTGTAGGCCCTGTAGGCTAGTCTTGCTCCCAATCTCATTGTTGTACTGGAAGTGATCTGACAGAACTAGCTTCGCCTCTTCCTCCCCATGAACAGCATTTTGCGCAGCAGTCCACGGGCTTGTGCCCGCCATTGTGCAACCTCTCTTCAATGCTGCTTTCTTTGCAAGATGGTAGCTGAACTCTTTCTGCTCTGCCTTGCTTTCTTCTCACATGCCTCTGCTTCCTTGGGATTCTTCTGAAAGCGTCATCACACTTTCTGCTGCCGCACTTTGATGGCTCCTTGCCCTTGCCATCCTTTTCTTCCTTGTCCTCAGGCTTGGCTGCTCCCTTGTTGGATGCTCTCGTTTCTGTCTTCACATCTTTCTTCTTCTCAAGCGTTGCCTTCGTGCTTTCCTGTGTGCTCTCACGCTTTCTCTTCCTCACCTCTTTGCCAACCTCTTCTGGCTCCTCTTTGGGCTTGGACTTCTCTTCATGAAGATCCTGCGCCTTCCTGGCACGCCGGCTTGAAGCAGCAGCGTCTGTCAGCTTCTCCGGTTCAATGGCATCCTCCTTCTCAGCTTTTGCTACTTTCCATTTCTTGCCCCCCCGCATCCTCAGTCTCCCCCTTCTTCCCAGCACGTGCCTTCACAGGTTCGGTCTTGCCCTCTTTGGACTTTGATGCCCTGTCATCCTTCTTCTTTTCTGCTTTGTTATTTTCTTGTTGGCATCATTTGTCTTCACTCTCTTCTCCTTTTCTTCTTTGGTCTTCCCTGGCAGGAGTCTTTCCGCTTTCTGGTTGGCTCTAGCTTTTTTTGGGTCCTTTGGGTTTTGTAACCTTAGTCTCTTCTGGGTCTTCATCGTCAGGCTCATAGTATTCGGTCCCCTCCTCCTCTGTTTCCTTTTGTTCTTCTTCCTCCTCTTCCACCTCGTCATCTTCTTCTGATTCTTCACCACTGGAAGCTTTACCACGTCCACCACGTCCTTTCCCACGTCCTCTGCCACCTCCTGTTCTTCACATGGAATTCGCAAAGCTGAATGCTGATGTGGCTCTTCAATTGACATGTTCATAGTTTGCACCATGCGTTCATTCTCACTGCGATCGAAAGAAAAGGCATTTTCGATCACTAGTTTGGCTTCTTCCTCACCATGTACTTCGTTGTCTCGAAGCAGTTGGTTTCGTGCTGCAAACTCCCACGCATGCTCCACCATCTTCCTCAAAGAAAAGCTTAATGCTATTTAGATATTTAACATACTGTCTCCCATAGCGTGAGAGCAGTAGAAAGCAAGAGGACAAAACTGAGGTCGTCTCTTCGTCCAGTTGTGGGTGGTTAACAAGCTGTGCTTGGTAACCCACTGGCCACTCCGTTGTTGTCCCATAGTCGACTGTGACCAACGCTGCAACTGAACCTCGACCAGCGAAAAGTCACAGCCTTTCTGCAGCATGAGTTGTCTCAGCTTTGATCCTGGGCAATGCGCATGTTCCAAAACCTGAATTCTAAAGCGGCCTAATTCTATCATTACCTGATGACCCCAAGCAATCATGACCAAGAAACGACCATCCTTGGTTTTCCAAAGTTTTGGAGCGTCGGCTGAACAAGAAGACGCCTTCATCACACATTGCCTTCGCAACCTTAACCCTGTCACATGACTTCCGAGTGATTTCCTAAAATGATTTGAGGCATAAAACTTCCAATACAGCGCATCCTTCTCGCTTGATGGCTTTTGCTGGGATGGTGTTTGTGACTTCTGGCTGGGGCTTTGGGGAAGCACGTTCGGATGGGGCTCCTCCATCCGCAGACTTTGCTGGTGTGTTTCTTGGGGTCTTAAGGTGCATTCAACATGGAATTCGGGTCTTTGGATCATGGCCCATGCTTTTCCTGGAACTCTTGACAGTATCCGGGGGGGGTTGGGATGAGTTGTGGCCACAGACTCATCAACAAATGCTTGGGCCAGATTCCGCTTGACAGAGCCTGATTGGTTTGGCGGCTCACAAGGGCAGGTTGGAGGGGTTGGAGGTACTCCTGCTGGAGAATGACCTGCGCAGTGTGCAATAACCGGAGCACCTGCAACAGAACAATTTGGATTGATGAACAAGCTGCATGCACAGGCTACAGGCCTTCAACGATTGGCACCACACCAACATCTCCCTCATCACTGCACTCTCGTAGTTGAGCTCGCAAAGTTGTTGCGAGCCTCTCCTCTTGAGCCTTAGCGCCGAATATAGTTTACTCACCCTCCCTTATGTATAGTTTGTGGGCCCTCAATTCACAAAGAACAAATTTCAACTTGCAACTTGCATCAAATTAGACGAGGCTCCTTTATCAGTTCATCAATCCCCAAGTTCCCCTCCGATGGTCCCTGCGTGTTCCGCCCCAGCATGTCTGATCCATAGACCAGAGTGCTGCAAGATCCGAGTTTAGGCGGCTCGGATCCAGACAACATGTTTTGCAAAGCTAGCCAAGCTGGGAACTAGTACCACTAAAAGGCCGCTGTATACATGTACTTTGAACGCTCCGAATGTACGAACTTTGCTGACGGAGTGGTATACTTTTTGAAGTTGCGGAAGATTGTGTAGATTTGCGTCGCGGGCTGCACCAAATGGCGCTCCAATTCGAGCGCCCCAGTTTTCCCAACAACACACCGGCTTAGATCAGTCCGAACGGATGAACATGTACGAATTTGCTCAAAAGCATTCAAATTTCCTTTGCAACCAAACCGGTCACAAAGATAACTGGTGCGCGGCCACCTTAGATTACAATGGCCACTGCTAGGCAAGTCTTCCAGGGTTGTAGTGAGGCTGATAGGTGCGAACAAGAATCCAAATCTTTGTGGAATTGCGACATAACTGGCTTCCACTCTGCTGGAATCCTGCGCAGGCTGGCATCTCCACTTCCCAGGCTGGCAGCGGGTCAGCGGAGAAGGAAAGTAGAAGGGCACCACTAGGTTGGAGGTGGCCTGAGATAGTCCCAGAACCCCTTCAAAACAGGCGCCCAGGCCACCTTCCTAAAGGGGCCAGAAAAGTGGTGCACGGTTCAGCAAACATGGATCTTAAGTCTTAAGTGCAATACGAATCAGTCCCAATGAATCTATTACAATTTAATGGTCCTGGTGCGTGCTGAGAAGTAGAGGTACTGAAAGACTGGAAGCAAGTCGGCGTCTTGCCATACATCACCAAGCTCAAGCTCTTCAAAAAGAGCCAGCTGGGATTTGCCAGGCTTAGGCGTTTTGTTGACGCGTAGGTCTCCACGGGGTTCGCGCCTAAGCTCTTCCACATAGAGCTCATGAATGCTCCGCCCCATCGCATGTGGTTGCATTGGAGTCTGTTAAATCCAAGTTTCTGGTTGTGGATACTTTGGTCTTCAACTCCTTCTCTTTCTTGGAAAGGACTCCCATCCGTGGTGCGTAAGCCAGAAGTATCTGATTGCAGCTAGTGTAGCTTGAGATGAACCAGTGGATGGCATGGTAAGTAAGCACTTTGGCACCTGCTTCCGTCCGCTGCCAAATCGTGCGAGAGGTGGGCTTCTCATGTCTTGATGCGGCAAGGGCCATTGACCAACTCAGGCGGCGTGAAAAGCGGATCAGGATGGCAACATCGAAGCTTCAAGTTTCTGTTCTAGGTCGCCTTGCTGGGCTGAGTCGGATGGGACTTGGAGCTTGCGTCGTGCGATTCTGCGCGCCTGGACGTGGACATTTCGCTATTCCCCCAAATCGGTTTCTATATTCGGATGTTCCATCGATGTTCCAATTGGTTTGGTTTGGTGTCACGACTTTTCCCTGAGAGTTTCCACTGCCCCCAGCTTTAGACCGCTCGAGTCTTCAGAGATCCATATCCCAAGACCTATGGGTTGACGTCGCCTTCTGGACTGGTTCAGCTGATGAACTTGCATGCATGACCACTCAAATAGAGGGCTTGTATATATATAATATTGGAACTATAGTAATTCGACGTGTGCGGTATGTTTAGCCAATGATGTACAGGCATCAGATAATGCCCGTGTGATCAACAATTTGTTGGTGTTCAAGTGGAGTGGGGCGGGCTGTGCCATGCTGGAACCTGCCGCTCCTACACCAAGGTGGGAGCAAACAGTATGCCCCACAACATACAGAGGAGATTCCATTACCGCTGCAACGCCTTCGTTGTTTGCTGTGTCCTTGGCACTTGCACATGGATTAGACCCGCGACCGGTTCGTGGGTTCGGTAGCCACAGTATTGGGGACGTGTGGGTTCGGTAGACTTGGCATGATGTTGACTTGTCCCGGTTTGGATTTCGATACCTTGGGCTCTGCAAAAGATGTGTCGCTGTTTTTCTTTTTTATTTCGGCCGTTGTTGGAGAGAAATCACACCCTATAGCGAAGCACCTACAAGAATTCAAGATCAAGTAACCAGACGAAAACGGTTCGACACCCTCCTCCCGAATGGTTGCACCATGTTGCACCACATCCGAACAACGAACAACACGAACACCGTGGGCACCGACGGGGTGGAGGCGTGGCATGTGCAATGGCACCTTCCAGAGGTTGGGCCATCGCTGTTGGTGGTTGATGTCCACGCTGAAGGTTGTCGATGTCAGCGGTACAGGAGGAGATTCCAAGGTGAAGCATATTGAGCCCTAAGTCATCACGGGCACCCCCACCCACGCTGCTCGAATTACTCACCTTTCAGATGGTGATTTCCAAGGGGTTTCCATCCCTTGCTCGTGACGTGACAGCCGTGCCACGTCTGACCTGCCCAACGTCTTCCATTTGGCTCAAATCCTCAGCATTTCCCGCAGTTCCCAGCGATCTTCGGTCCTCGAAAACAGTGAAAACACTGGTTAGGCCCGAAGCTCAGTGCTGCAGTGCCACTTGTTGGCTCAGCTCCGCTCAGCCACTTCGAGGTCAAGATGCTCAGCCGTGTTGTCGTGCCTGTGAGCTGGGGCCCTTAGCGGATGGATGCGTTTGGCAAACAGCATGAACCACAGGGTTCCCTTTCGATTCCGGATAGTTTTGTTGTAATTATTTCAAATACCCTCGTCTATCCATCATACTAATGTTGTGTTGATGCTTCTTGCATTTCCTCGCAAAAGACGGAAGCTCAACAAAACCATCACCTTTTAGGTGCAAACATCAAATCATCAAACAAATGGTCTGAATGATTTTCGGAGCGTTCACCGGACATGCATGTTTCTTCGATAGGTATAGCAGCTAGTCTTGTCAGGTGAGTTGTTGAACTGTGTAAAGCACGGAAGGCAACAATCGAAAGATGATCCACGAGGTTTTTGTCCTTGTTGCTTTGTTGCTCGGATCATCAACCCCGACCCTCACAAAACCTCAGATTTGGCTTGAGAGTTGCTCCCTTGGGACGTCTCAGACCATCCATCCGAAGCCCAGACGTGTCCGACCATAGCATTGATGTTGGACTTGACGTCTTGAGGCCGCCAGTCTGTGCGTTGCCTAGCACCCTGCCTCTCGCAGATCCGCCATTTTTCACGCCCTCTTTGTTTGTCGGACCGGGAGAAGAGGCAGGCTGCGGCCAAGCAGACACAAGCGGACACGCGAGGGTGACGACGGTGGTGCGCTGTTCCAGGAACATCGTCAGCCTTTGGCCATGGAGATTGGAGCAAACTCAATCACTGAACAGGGGGTGCTTCATGCTCAATTACCAATGTGTGTATCCGTATGAGTGATCGCTGGGCGGAGCCAATTCGCCGATGAGTTTTGGAGATTCTGGGCAGTGTTTTGCTGATCTTCATTGATCATTGATTTTTGTCATATATTCAGATTCATGTCTTTTGTCCAAAGCAACTTGCCACGCGTCAACACGCGCCAGAAACGCACGCGACACTCTGCGCAGGCAACTGATTGTTCGGGGACAGAACGTGCCGGTGAGCGATGAGTACTGGGAGCCTTGGAGAATGGAGCCCAGGGAGGGGCAGGGGCTGTGCTCCAAGCAGGCTGTGCTCGGTGCTAGGTCCGCTATAGGTGCCGGTCCAAGCAGATGGGAGCCTTGCACGTTGGGTGATGTGAGGTGCCTGAACCCGAACTCCAACAGTCCAAGCACCTTTTGCTCGGACGCATACACAAAATTCCATGGTGAATTTTGATTCGGATGGACTCCAACGTCCAAGTGACTGTAGGATGAATACTGGGCGTTGGAGTGCGGAGCCTTTTTGATCTCAAGGACTATGTGGCAGATGAGCAGTCTGTCAAGGATGCAGAGGTCTACAGGAGACATAAACGGGACAGAAAAGCACGTTGGGTCAATTTGTGGCAAACGGCCTTTCACTCTGCCCAGTAATTTTGCAATCACATGATTCAGGACCTCAGGAATCCCTGAACTTGTCATAGTGCTGACTTGTGTGTGGGTTTGTTTTCCTAGACGTGACATCCATTGGCACAACTCCAGGAACAATACCGAGAACTACGCAGGAACTGTGAAATACCCAATTGGCGTGATTGGGCCACTGAAGGCAGCGGCTATCCCGAAATCGCGCCCATTTTGGCAACCTGCATGCCACCTCCTACAGTTTTCAGAGTTGCGCCTTTTCCTGCTTCAAAGTTGACAGCTACCCAAGCAGTCACCCAGATCCAGAACTGCACACAAGTGAGGACTGGACACAAGAGATATCTCCTGTTTCAAGCACCAATGGACCATGTACTCATCAGTCCTTCACATGGTTCAGGTGAACGGAGAGTATGCGAACAAAGAGTACGTCGTGCCCATGGCGACCCATGAGGGAGCACTCTTAGCCTCCTATAGCCGCGGTGCTAAGGCAAGAGTTTGAGATTGAAACTTGTATTTCATTGTTAACATTGACGTATATTGTACATAATATTGTAATTAATATATAATATATATATATATATATATATTGTAAAGGAATGCATACGATGAAAACAGCACGCTCGACCGTCAGCGACCCTTATTTTTGCATGTTAAAGTGAATGTGGAAATGCGGAGGAGCCTACCACAGATTTAGGATGGTCTAGAGTCTAAAGAGGTTTCCATGGCCTACACCGTTACACGGACTCAAGGCAAACCATTGTTGGCGATAGAGGGGTCCCAATTATCGACGAAGACGCATGAAGACGCATGAAGAGGTACGAAGACGCATGAAGACGCATGCAGAGGTACGAAGACGCATGAAGACGCATGCAGAACGTATTGCATCAATCTTTACGGCTTTCAAAGCGAGAGAAGAAAGAACAACTCTCACTCACTCACACACGCTCCCACTCTCACTCACTCTCCCACTCTCACTCTCACTCTCCCACTCTCACTCTCCCACTCTCACTCTCACTCTCACTCTCACCCACACTCACTGTCACTCTCACTCACACTAAAACTCACTCTCACGCGTCGGCGCGCATCGTCACGCATCGTCACGCAGCGTCACGCAGCGTCACGCAGCGTCACGCAGAGTCACGCAGCGTCACGCATCGTCAGCGATAATTGGACAACCAAAGCTTGAACGGATACTGTGACCGGTGGAAGTGGAGATGACATGGAGATGGCGTCAGCGTTGACCGGATGTGTTCTCCCCTTGATCATGGCTTCCGCTTTGAAACTTCACACTTTCAGCCACAAACATTGGGTTTTGGGCACATCTCAGCAACATGGTTGCCGAATCCAATGGTCTTGGGGGCCCACTGAATCAGACGGTGACCCTGTTGACCCGCTCCGTTCAGTTCGTCCAGCTCCGTCCGACCTCGGGAGGCGATCACTGCGGGAGGAGGAGTGACCACACGAATCAAGACTCGGTGCATGGTGCGAGCACCAGCCACTTGGCACAGACCTCCGAGGCATCGTGAAAACTGGGCATCCGAGGTGCTGGAACAAAATACCAAGGTGTCTTTGGTTATGGTATTGGTAGTTATGGTAGTTCCTGGTAGTTCCTGGTTATGGTTATGGTATGGTTATGGTAGTTCCTGGATGTTCCTGGTAGTTCGTCCAATTTCTATCTTTGGCGGTGGCACACTCCCAGCCCAGCCTAACACCGCATTTTTGTTGAGCAGAAAGAGCAGTTTTGTAGGAGCTCAGGCAGGTTTGTCGATGTTCCATTTCTTCATTCACAATTCATTTGTGTCACTTCTCACCACTTCGGAACATATTGAACCTAAGGTCTTTATTTTCCACAACATCTCTGACGCCAACGAGTTCTACCGCTATGCCCACAAAGCTTCAACCCAGGACAAATGTGGGAGATGACGTTTAACTGATCACCGTTTAGCTCAATGGATGTTTTCATTTCTACTTGTGGCCTCTCTTGTGTTCTTGTGGGAAGACGTATCAGAGCCGTTCATGTTCGGGCGTTCAGGTGTGGAACCAAGAAAATCGATGTCCAAATGGATGTTACAGTCGATGTGGAAGTTGAGGTGGAAGCACAAGAAACCCAACACGTAGAAATAGACGTAAATCACTCGATCTCACGGTCAATGTTGGAATGCATGTGGAAACAACATGAAACAAAGACAACGCACATAATGTCACTCAAACCGATGTAGCAGTTGATGTTGGGCGCGGAAGTACACTTCCTCCTCTTCCACAATCCTACTTGCTACACGATGGCACTGGGCCACGCAAGTGCACTTTCCACCAAGGCCATGCCACACCGCATGCCACAGTGACATGGCGGAAGTAATTTCGCTGCACTGTGTAGTGTGTACCATATACATTAGATGCAAACATGTGACACAACACTGCCAGTCACATCCCGCTCACCAGCGGTTTCCGCGTTGACACACATGGTACGCGTTTGCGCATTGGACCGAAGCCGTGCCAAACCGCTTTGGACAGCGACATCACGGACTTCGACCGCCGCTCCGTGCTGAAGCACGGACAGACCTGGGGACTGCTAATGACTTAGGGCTTTAACATAGCTAGATCAAGAATTAACATAGTTCATTGGCTAGAGGCTTAACTTCCTTGAGGATAAAGGGACGGGTAGCTAGCTCTTTAGCTAACGAACTGGCTTTGTTTGCACAAGTGAAATATGTCCTTGTCGCGAGAACGATGGAAAGAACGCAACAAAAGCCAAGAAGACTAATAGTTTCAATGTATTTCCTAAAACTATCATAACAGTTTGTTTAGCGCCATTGGGCCAAGCTAGGCAAGGAACAAACAGATTTGGTTGGAAAATGAACAAAGCCAAGAAACTGGCAAGGATTTCTATATAAAGCTATTTAAACAAAAACTTTGAGTTTCCGCAGGGTTTGCAACCTGTACGTATGCAAAGGTTTTGTTTTGTGCAGAAGGAGCTTTTGCAAGGCTTTTCGTTTTCTGAAAGATTCTGAAAGCAATGTGTTGACAAAAACTTGTGCAAGGCTGACAGCAGGCAAAACCGTTTCAACATATGCATAATTTGCCACATTTTCCAACAAAAAACGAACATATTTAAGGCATTGTGTCCAGTCTGCCAAGTTCAGCGTCCTTTGCACCAATGCCTAGGCAACATTGTTCTAATTTTCCGTTCAGGCAAAGCTGTGTAAGTCATGGGTGCTATAATGTCTTTGATATCCAAAAACAGCTGACAAGATC